TTTTTTTTCATTTTTTATTTGGTCGGGCCCCACGTCGGTCCCACCCCCTTGTGAGGGTCGGTCATCCAAGTGGGCAGCCGTCTTCTGGCAAAGGAGCAAAACTCAAAATAAGAACGTGATTAAATTTTAAAATAAATAATTTTTGTATTAATTAGAAGTAAAAATAAGTAAAAAAAATTATTTTGACAGTAATATAAGTTAAAAAAAATTATTTTGACAGTAATATAAGTTAATTTTGGTTAGAGTAATTTTTATTTTTTTAAAGTGATCCATAAATGTTTATATACATCTAAACATGAACCAACATAAAATTTAATTAATTTGAATAAATGAATATAGAAAATGAATAATTTATATATATTTAGACAAATGTCGTTATATCATATATTAAATGAATAATATTGAAATTAAATAAGTGTGCATGAACTTGAATTTATCTACTCCTATAATAATTGAATAGCTCCCAAATTATATGATATTTAATTATTTATATACTCTTGAATAATTTTGAAAAAAAATATGTGTTTATGAACTTGAATAATTTATTTTCTCCTAAAATAATTGAATTGTGATATTTCTAGAGTAATTGAATGACCCACAAAATATATAAAGTATACGTGCATGAACTTGAAAAACTAATTGATTGAATTATAACAAGATATATATAAATTAATATTAATTATTATCATACACGTAAATAAATAATTAAGTTGTATAAAAAGTTCATTTCACATGAACAGTTTTTTTAACTATTTTTTATATTCACTGATTTTCAAATATTATTTTTACAATATTTATAAAGTATTTCAAAATGACTTACAACGCACGTTTAGTTGTGACTAATAATTCCAAATATCACAAAAAAAATGATGGAAATAATCTCTCCATCCAAACGGCGAAACCCTATAGTCGTCACTATTGAGCCATATATTCAAAATTTAAATAAATAAATAAATAAAGAATATTCAGTTGGTTCTATTCTCTCCTGCTACTTTATGAACTCTTTATCTGCTGTCGCATCGCAATGTAATCTTTATGCGCTTTTACAGCAGAGGAGGTTAAAATGGAGGAAAATTCTACTTGTACATAAGGGACCAAGAAGAACCGGAGAGAATCGGTTTCTGATCCAACGGCTCTAATTATTTTTCTATTTTCACTATCATTCCATCCTGATCTTTAAATTCTTCGCTACCATCAGCATAGTTGGTCTCTTCCATTTTGTACGCAGAATAAAAAAAATAAAAAGGAAAAAAGCTCTCTCTAATGGCGGATACCCCAACGGACCAGTCATCCACCCAAACCCGAGCACCATCAGGATCCGACCCGGATTTATTGCAGTACTGGTGCTACCACTGTGACAAGCGGGTGTCAATCGAAACCCTAGCTGATCTTCCTGATGTTATATGTTACGAGTGCAAGAATGGATTTGTTGAATTAATTTCTGCTGCTACAGTTCCATCGCCGGCTGACGCGCCAACTCACGTCGGTTCCGATCACATCGATGATCCTAATTTTGGTAATCAGTTTATTCAGGTTCTCCGCCTCATAGCCGAGGCAGCGCGTGAGGAGGATGCTCCTCCTCCGCCTCCCTCTGAGCACGCAGATCCGTCGGATGATGATTATTTACGGATCGAGTTAGATGGATGGGTTGATGATGATGACGATGACGATGAGCATTCGGTGGAAGTCCATGAGGATGCGAATCATGAACAGGAGGAGGATAACGAGAATCAGGTTCGATCCGAGGATGAGAATGAGGAGGGGAATGAGGTAAACGAGAATAGGAGTGAAGATGAAGAAGATGAGATGCGGAGAAGGCGGCGTGATGTGCTGCGGCTTCGTCTCAGGGAGTTTGCTGCTCGAGCTGCGAGCAGGCGTAACAGGATTCTCGATTGGGCCGAGATTCTAATGGGGCTGGAGGACCACTCTATCGAGCTGCGATTGCAGGTTCCGGAATCTGATAATTTTTTCGGAAACCCAGGGGATTACGTAGATGCTGCAGGATACGAAGCGTTGCTGCAGAATTTAGCTGAAAGTGATAGTGGAGGAAGGAAAGGGGCACCACCAGCTTCAAAGGCAACAGTTGAAGGGTTAGAGAATGTGTTGGTTGAAAAGGAAGAGGAGTCCTTGGTGTGTGCTATATGTAAAGATTCAGTGAATGTGGGTGAAATGGCCAGGAAATTGCCATGTGGACATGGATATCATGGCGACTGCATTGTCCCCTGGTTGGGGTCGCGGAATACTTGCCCCGTGTGTAGGTTTGAGTTGCCGACTGATGATCCCGAGTACGAGGAGGAGAGGAAGAAGAGAGTTGTGGTGGCAGGTCTTAGAGCACCTTCCTCGAGTTCTTCCGGTGGTGGTGGTAGTTATAATTCTGGCTTTGATTGATTTGCTATGGTATGCAAAAACCTTCTTCACTTTGTTTCCTATTCTCTTGTTAGGAGCTGTTCCCGTTCCTGTTTCTCTCTCGATTTAAATTGGAACTGTGTTTGTGTATTAGCTTATTGTGGATTAGGCAGATGAATTGTAATTTGGCTTCTTTTCTGTAAATAATAAACTCTCATTTTGGAAAATTCTTAATAAGTTCTATCTGATATAATTCTCCGCATCTTAGCCAGTTTTTTCTTTTGTTATTGTTCTTTTCTTGTGAGAACTAGCACTAGTTTGATGTGAACCTTTAGGAGTAATTCATCAAATTGGTACCCTTCATAAACAAAAATTTTCATCACATGATAGTTGAGTTTCTTGTTGATTTGTAGCATTTGATATTTTTCACTACTCTGTGGAAGATATTTCATTGGCAACTGTGACACTGATTGAATTCTCAAATTGAACTGCTAGGATAAAGTTCATATATATTGTTGCTGCATAAGTCAGACAAATTGTTATCTACAGAAATAGATAGATTGCAAATTTATGACGACCTGGTTTAGATAACAGATTGATCGATTTTATCTGATTGTATGCCATCTATCTTGTGTTAATTGGGAGATCATGCATTGAGCTACCAGTGTGACTGAATAAACAACCAAGCTGAGATGATAATTTGAGTAGAAATGTAGTGGATGTGTTATTGATAACCCTTGGAACAAGCAGGTAACTAGTTGAAAGGCGTTATGGTGTATCTTAGTAATTGAGAGTCTAGTTTAGAGGGAAAACAGTGCCAAAGGGGTTGTATTTGTCAAGCTTCTTTTAGAGCTGGATCTTGAGTGAAACTGAGGACTGTTTTTGGGATCATGGACCTTCTAAATTTTAGGAGATTTAAAGCAATTTCGCAAATGGTGATGGAGCCATATGGTCAATGAATTGTGTAGCTTGCAAGGTTGCTAATTTTGAGACCCTATCTAAAATTGTTCTTAGATGGTTTTGAAAATTTATAAGTCGGAAATTAGGTTCTCCAAGCAAAGGAAAAGAAAATTCTCATCTTATATTACCATATTGTATTTCTGAAGTTCTTAGTGTCGAAAATAATATTATAAAGTAAAAAAAAAAAAAGGCTTCTTGGACGGTTGGACTTGATGAAACGAAGTGTTGAAATGGTCTAGTCGGGTTGAAATTTTTTGAACGTGGTTTAGACCAGGATAATCTATGCTGTCGGATTAATCAATGGAATTTGCGGCCTCTACATCCGAGATTTCAATTTAGTAGAATTGTGAATTGGGTGCATCATTCACTGGACAGTCTTTGATCCAGCACTTTATGAGTTCCTTTTATATTTAGGCGCTTTAATTGTCAATTGAAGTACAGAATATGCTTGAGAGTCTTATTTATACATTTCTTTGAGACTCGAGTACGACCATGATGTGAAACAGGAAAATCGACTCTTAGCTGGAGTCTTTTCCAGTTTCTTTGGCTGGTGTTATGTATTTGCTATTGAAAGGTGTTTTCCTTTTTCTATTTCTTTGACCGATTACTCGTTTATATTTTTAATGACTGAAAAGAGAAGAGGTGTTGTATCACTTGACACCAATAATGTAGCTTGGTGAAATGTCATTTCAAAATTTCAAAGCTTGTGGTGCTCTGCTATTTATGAATCTCATCATTTTGTGCTGTCTGAGTTGAATGGTGTTATCATTTTGTAACTAAAGTGTTGGTACTTTTTGGCTATTTTGAGTTGAATGATGTTAGCTGTCTCCTTATACAATGTTTTGGCAGGATGATTGCTAATAGCCTAATACCAATTTCCCAAAGGGAAAATTACACTTGGGGTTCTCACCTTTTGTATAGTAGCACTTGGTTCCACCAATCAAATTTTCTTGGTATTTTTGTCCTTAATTTTTCAATTTTGTAGCATTAAGGTCCACCTCGAAAGTTTTCGTCATAAAAATCCATTAATACATCATTTGTGTAGAGGGGGACCAAGACAGCCTGGTTGGGGCGTGGCAGTCTGTAGGTGTGGGGACGACTGTGCAGCTTCGGAGTGTCAGGGGTTGGGTCAGGGTGGGGCTTGTAGGGGCGGTGGATGGGAGGAGAATGCGATGGCCAATTCATTTTTCTTTTTCTTTCCTTTTATTTGAGTTACTATTATGCCTCTTAAATAGTAAATCATGCACAAAACACCTCTCTCTTTTTAATCGATTTTTTGATGGAATTTCTTAGTTGCTACTCAAGTACTGCAACAAGAAATTAAACCTTTGTAAATTCTTCTCAAATGGATGCTAAATTTATGCGCTTGATGTATTAAAATGCTCATCTTGTAAGTTTTCCTTTTAGAAAAATTGAATTAGCCCCTGTTTGGCCCCCATTATTTTGCATTTTTGGAGGTTGAAAATTTTTAGAATGGTGATTGATGGAAGAATGTGTGGTTGAAAATTTTTTGATTTGTGTGTAATATTATTTTATTTGATAAATGTGTAATTGAAATGAAGAAAGAGAAAAATGTAATGTAATTTAATGGGAGCCAAACGAGGGCAGTGTTAGATGATTTGCTACATCGGCTGCAAAGGTCGATTGCAACTTGTCTGGTTGCTTGCCCCATTTTCCATTGTAATAAAGTAAAATTATAAATGTAATATTACGTGTACCAACATAAAAAAACCAAGTTTAAATATATGTACGAAGTCACAATCTAATGAAATAGATAATTCAAGTAAGATGACTGCCTACTCTCGACATCCCCCTCGAGCTTAGCTTGCATAATACTTGCTCCTTGAGCTTAAAAATATCTTCTTGAGAAGTGCTTTTGTCGGGTTGAAAATTGAAAAACTATAATTCTGTTCCATCGAGAGCAGTCAATTTGCAGCAAAAATTAAAGACATGTAAGACTTATAGAGAGCCTTATTGTGAGATTACATTCTCTTCCGTTGTTACATTAATTTATTATCAAGAAGAGAAATTTACAAGAGAAAATCGCACATTATATCTTCTCTGACCCCTCTCTCTCTCTCTCTCTCTCTCTCTCTTTTATGATGGTAAATACAAAATTTTAATGATGTCTCCCTATTCACGAGACAAATTAAAGTAAAAACAAAATTAACAAGGATACAAATTCTTAAATTATCCTTAATGAAATTTTGGTTTCGGAGGTTGATTCACCCTCTACACCTTTCGGGAAGGGGGCAGGATCTCCACGACAACCTCACTGTGGAGGTTGATTTTTGTACTACTTTGGTGACAATAATTAAGTTCCACAACTTGACAATATCTCGCTTGACGACTAATTCATCATTAGTGGCTCCTCTGCAACAACAACTCAATTATCAAGAGAAAAGTCCAACTGAATTTGCAAACTTCATTTCCTTGATCGGAATAGTCTTTGCGAACATGTCAACTGAATTCTGACTCCTTTTAATCTTCTCAAGTATTAAGATTCCATACTCCAAAGTTGATCTATGAAGTGATAACATACCTATATATGTTTCGTCCTTGCTAAACATGATTATTTGTTAAGTGAATATCACTCTAACTGTCATAATGCAGTGTACTTTTCTCATACTTGTAACACAATTCTTCCAAAAAAAAGATTACAACCATATCATCTCTTCCAAAAAAAAAACTGCAAATATAATCAACCTCAGTAATAGAAATAACAGCTATCTTTTGTAACTTCGACACCCAACTAACTAATATACCACCCAATGTGTATAAATTTGACGTTGCAACAAATTAATCTAAAATTCATAAAGTTAAAACGAGTTTCATCTTTTATTTTAAGTAAACAGAACGCAGAAAATATGAAATAATCCATATAACAAGTTCCTCCTCAAATCCATATAACAAGTTCAAAGGTTAAAGAGGTCTATAGACAGAATGGTATTATGCACTATTGGCTTCTTTACTTGATTATTTATGGTAAATTGAGTAGATATTTACTTAATTGAGGAGCAAATATGTTAATCGTAAGTAAGAACCCGATTTGAAGTCAGTTGGATGCAATTGACATGAACATGCATTTTAGAGTGTGATTGGAATTTATACGGATTAAGTAAACATCTGCTGGATTGCAATTGATCAATTATAAAGACAATTGGAAGAGATTCACAAGTTTCGAGAGATACATACAATATTTAAAACGTTCAGGGACTTAATTGAAAAATCTCTAAAGGATCAATTACGGATGATTGAGAAATGATGAGGACTAAATTAGAAAGATTTAAAGATGAACTATAAGAAGGGACTAAGAAATTAATTGAGATCAAAATGGAGCTGTCTAAGAACCAAAGTCTTGCAATTGCAAGCCCTTGAGTTTTGCAATGGCAGCCACCAAACATACGGAAGCAGAAAGCAATTTTGTGTGCCTATGCGATCGCACATGTTGATCCTCTAGGAAAATTTATTTTCATTATTTTAATCAATCTCTTTTTGTAAATCAATTAGGGCAAGGATTTTGACCTAATTCGTATAATATAAGTATGTTCCTTCATCTAAAATAGAGGGAGGAAGCTAGGTGGTTCTTATGCACATATTCCATGGATTAGAAGAGAGTCATTGGAAATAAATGTACATGCTTTGCATGATCCAATTGATATTCTTGTGATTTAATACAACTTCACATTCGAGAAATGAACATTATCAGATCATATGTTAAGATATGTTCAATTATACTCGGGAGAGATTATTGAACATGATAGGAATATCAATCTTCATAACCAAATGTAATTTGTGGAATTGATATTGTTGGGAAAAATCGCCTCGAACGCAGGAATTGAGATTAATGACGAATTGAAATAACAAAGATCACAAGAAAAAGAACAAGATTAAAGTAAAGAAAATAGAGGAGAAATTGGCAGAGGAATCGATGTTTTATTCAACAATATGGAGAGATATTACAAAACTTAGCAATATTGGCTTCTATGAAATAATGAATGAGGAGATCTATATTTATAATCCACGTACAAACCCTAGGCATATGTCAAAGTATGAAAATAATGGAAAAACCGTGTGAAAAA